AAAGAAAAATAATATTTAGTTAATACATGAGCATTAATGTCGATTTATAGAGGAAAAATAATTTTGTTAATTTTAAAAATTAAAAAAAAAAAATAGAAGCTATGAAATGCCCTTGATCGGATGGGTCTTAAAAGTTGCAGAAAGAACAGTAGTTTATTATAGCAAAATTTCAAAAAAATCGAAGGGTGCTTGAAATTCAGAAATCAGCTTTAAAATTTTCAAACTTGAAATTCATATAGTAAAATATTTTGAAGAATTTTTTTGTATTTTTTTCCAAAAACAACGTGAAAAAACGAAAATTTAAAAAAAAAAAACACTTAATTTCATCCATTTTTGACAAAGTTATAGGCAAAAAACCAAAAAAAGAGCGATTTTTTTAAATAATTCATATCTTTTGAACGGGTTATGAAAAAAATCTGAAAATTTACCTGGAAGCCTTTCTCAATGAGTATAAAAACATATGAAAAAATCAAGAAAATTAAAAAAAAAAAATTTCAAACTGTCCGATTTGGCGTGGAATGCCCCATATATATATATATACCCGGGGAAAAAAAATTATATATAATTTTATATAATTATATATAATTTTATATAATTATATATAATTTTATATAATTATATATAATTTTATATAATTATATATAATTTTATATAATTATATATAATTTTATATAATTATATATAATTTTATATAATTATATATAATTTTATATAATTATATATAATTTTATATAATTATATATAATTTTATATAATTATATATAATTTTATATAATTATATATAATTTTATATAATTATATATAATTTTATATAATTATATATAATTTTATATAATTATATATAATTTTATATAATTATATATAATTTTATATAATTATATATAATTTTATATAATTATATATAATTTTATATAATTATATATAATTTTATATAATTATATATAATTTTATATAATTATATATAATTTTATATAATTATATATAATTTTATATAATTATATATAATTTTATATAATTATATATAATTTTATATAATTATATATAATTTTATATAATTATATATAATTTTATATAATTATATATAATTTTATATAATTATATATAATTTTATATAATTATATATTGCCAAAATAAATCCTTCGTTCAAATTAAAAATAGAAAACAAATAAAAAAAACTATATTTTAAAAAAATTTTTTTAAAAATTATTACAAACAAAAAACATCTTGTTTGGTTTGATATTTTTTTTGATTGCTAAAAATATTTTTTACTCTAAAATTTTTTATTTTTTACAAACATTTTCTTATTTTTTTTGCTATAGTACATTCGGAAATTTAAATTATTGCATATTTCATTTTACTATGGTACATTTCAATTTCTACCGTTTGCTATGTCTGATTTCATTTGTTTCGGAAATTACTATGGGCCATTGTAAAATTTTATTCTGAGTCAATAAGGTTCACTAGTAATATGCACCATTGTAAAATTTAAAATCCATGCAGAATAAAAAATAATAGAAATTTCTCACCGTGTAGTTTAACCGCATTATTACGGTAAATATACGGCATGAGCATAAATGCCGAAAAATTACGGTATTTCTACGGCATTCTCAAAACCGCGAGGGTAGTATTTATACGAAATAAATTAAACGCAAAAAATCTCACATTTCACAACGCATTTCGGTAATTACGACTACGAACATAGGATTTGTTGTTTACTTCAATTTTTGGGGAATTTCCGATCAATTAATTTAATTAAACAATTAATTAGAAGAATTCGTCGCTTTTAGAAGTATTTTTTAATGACTTTATTGTGAAGATTTAAGAGATCATTCTTGAGTTTTATTTTAAGAATTTAAAAACTAAGTTTTATTTAGAAGCTAGATTTTTGGGCTCCAGGAATTTTTTAGAGCAAAATTAATAATATTTTTGAAATCCTGAGAAAATTTCCGAAAAAATGACGTATCGCACGACTCAATCGGCCGTAGGTCGATTTTTGATTAATGATCTATAGATCATTTGATAAATTATTAATGCGATTTTTTTAATCAAAGCTTGGGAATTAATATAGCGTCCAAGGAGTCATTTTACTCAGGATTTCATGATCTAGGTCGCAGAGGTAAGCATTTATAAAAATAACAAACCTATTTTTTTTTATTAATAATAATTTATTTATTTTTAGGCTTTAGTTAAGAATTTTAATAAAAATTCAAAGATGTCAATTATTTTTTGATATTTTGAAAGATTTTTTTAAATATTTAAAAGACTTCTAATTATTTAACTAAGGTAACTTAAAATCATTAAAAAATACTTTGATAAAACGACGAACTCTTCAAATTAATTGATCGGGAATTCCTAAAATTTGAAGCAAACAATAGATCCTTTGTTCGTAGTCGTATAACCGAAATCCGTTATGGAATGTCGGATTTTTAACGTTCAATAATTTTGTATAAATACTGAGCACGAATCCACTTCCTTATCAGTTACTTCTTCAACTATTTGGTGAGTATAAATTTTAATTATTTAAAACTTCCATGAAAAAATTCTATTATATATCATTTAGATTTTAAATATTTTAAATAGGAGTTTTTTTTTTTTTTAATGGGATTGTCAATTTTAAAAGGAATTAATTTTTAAAATTAATTTTCAGGTGTCAAAAATTGAAAGCTAATTTTGAAATAAAAGATGGCGAAAGTTTTGCTGGCAATTTTAGCATTGACGTTTCTTATAGGAATTGTAGCGAGCTATAACGACTATGATATTGTGACGGACTTTTTCGGAAGACAAAGCATAAGAGTCGGCGGACAAGTAAGTATATAACTAAAATATACACGGAAAAAAAAATTGTAGGAATAATTACAAATTGTCAAATGGTAATCTAGGACCAAACTTTTAGTATCTTCATTTTTATTATTTTACATTTCAAAATTTACGACTTTAGTCCTTTTGCAAAAAATAATTCTTTGAAGAATAATCTACCGTAAGATTCTTGTCCAAGAATTTTAATAATATTTATGCAGATACTTTATCACAAATCTTGAGCCAGAATTTAACCAAATTTATACGAAAGTGGCTTTTAAAAAAATTATTTCTAATAATTTTGACGTTTTCAATGATTTTCAGTTGAATGGCTAAAAAAAATTTTTATACCCCCTTTTGGTATTTGTTACAATATATTTTTAATAACTCACCTTTAGACATAATTTTAAATTGTTTTTATTCATTTCAAATTAGATTTTTTAATCAAGAAGAGTCGACTGTATTTTTTTTCGCCGACACTGAAATATTGTTATAATTAAGAAGATTAATTAAAATAAATATTTATTTGTTAACTAGTGCGAAAGCAATGAACAGTGCCAATTCGAGATTTGCGCTGCTCCAAGGGGAGTAATTAAAACATGCCAACCATCCAATTATTATGAAATTGCTCATTGTCTCAGACAAACATAAAAATAATGTATCGTATATATGAAATACAATAAATAATTGTCCGAATAATTATTTACTTGTTGATTATTATTCATCTTTAACTAATAAAATTTCCTAGCTTAAAAAAAATAAAATAAAATGCGATGAAGGACATACAAAATTTACTTACCTTAATTAAATAATTAAAAGTCTTTTAAATATTTAAAAAAATCTTTCAAAATATCAAAAAATAATTGACATCTTTGAATTTTTATTAAAATTCTTAACTAAAGCCTAAAAATAAATAAATTATTATTAATAAAAAAAAAAATTTGTTATTTTTATAAATGCTTTGCTCTGCGACCTAGATCATGAAATCCCGAGTAAAATGACTCCTTGGACGATATATTAATTCCCAAGCTTTCATTAAAAAAATCGCATTAATAATTTATCAAATGATCTATAGATCATTAATCAAAAATCGACCTACGGCCGATTGAGACGTACGATACGTCATTTTTTCGGAAATTTTCTTAGGATTTTAAAAATATTATTCATTTCGCTCTAAAAAATTCTTGGAGCCCAGAAATCTAACTTATAATTAAACTTCAGTTTTATTCAAATTCTTAAAATAAAATTTAGGAATGATCTTTTCAATCTACAAAATAGTCTGAGCTCAACAATCAATTGAGCTGAATAATTTTAATAAGAATTCCAAGATTTTAATTGGTTTTTTTTGTTTTATTTAATAATTTTTTAAAATGAAAATTAATGTAACAGCAAACTTAAAAATAAATAAATTATTATTAATAAAAAAAAAGAGTTTGTTATTTTTATAAATGCTTTGCTCTGCGACCTAGATCATGAAATCCCGAGTAAAATGACTCCTTGGACGATATATTAATTCCCAAGCTTTCATTAAATAAATCGCATTAATAATTTATCAAATGATCTATAGATCATTAATCAAAAATCGACCTACGGCCGATTGAGTCGTGCGATACGTCATTTTTTTAGAAATTTTCTCAGGATTTTAATAATATTATTTATTTTTCTCTTAAAAATTCTTGCAGCTCAGAAATCTAGCTTATAATTAAAATTTAGATAAAACTTGGTAAATTGTTTAATAAAATTAACAATTAAAATTACGGCTAACTTTAATTTAATTTAAACTCACCATAATCTTCTCGAGAAGTGTCACAGTCCGCCATTTTGTCGCAACTGCCGTAAAACAGTCTTACCCGTAGTTTCTATGCGTCAGTCGGCATAACTAAGCTCTGAAGTACCTTCCAAGCGTCAGAACCTCTTATTTATAGTACCAGCTTGCGTCGCTGTCGTGGAGACACCTGATTCGTCAGCTGGGGTCACAAAATCTGTAAAAAATCTTTTATACAATTTATACACACTCGACAAGTCACTAATTCAGAAAATAACAAGCCGCTTGTCGAATGTCAAATTTATTTATCTAAATTAATAATTATTAATTTATTAATTTATAAGCAAGTAAGTCAATTTTATAAAATATTTTTTTTTATTTTTATTTTAATAATTTTTATTAATTAATTTATTTTTTTTTAGATTCTAAAATATAAGAAATGAAAATGGACTTCTGGACCTGCTTTTGTATATTTATAATAAATATTTTTGTTACTTTTGGGGTTGAATCAACCGAATGGAACACTCATGATTTTATGAAACGAGAGCATTCTTTGGTTAAACCTTATCAAGGTAATTTATTTTATTATTATTATTATTATTATTATTATTATTATTACAATTAAATATTATCTTGAATGAACACGTAGTTAATTAATGATTTTGATTAATTATGTTAATTTAATGATCAAGTGACACAGTACCATATTTTTTTTGTATTTGTTTTTATATGTAGGTTATGACCTTCAATTTTGCCGACAATATTTATATTATATTAAATTTTGGAAATAATTAAAAAAAATTTTTTTTTAATAAAACAAATAAATTTAAAAAAAAAAAATATTTTTTTTTAGATTGAATTTTTTTTTAATAATAAATTTTTTTTATGTATATTAAAATTTAGTTTTTTTTTTTAATATATTTTTTTTTTAAATATTTATTGTTTTTTTTTTATGATCACTTTTATATTATAATAAAAATTTATATTTTTTTTAGGAATGGGTATGACGATACCTTACTGGGATTTTCTAGGCAGTACTATGGTAACTAAAAATTATATTAGGTTAACACCGGATTTGCAGAGTCAACAGGGAGCTATTTGGAATTCAGTGGTAATTTTTTTATTTTAATTATTTAAAATTTTAAGGTAGTACTGTAATTTTGATGGAGGGATTGAAAATTAGTCATAACTCCTAAAATATTGATTTCAGGAAAAAATTATAGGAGCAAAATTGTAGCTTAGAAAATTTCATATTAAAAACGTTTTTATACTATAGGTCTATTGTTAATATTTTAGGAGATATAGGAACTTTAAAAATAATTAGAAAGTTAAAAATCAAAAGTTATTGTTTAGGAGCGTAAAAATGGCGATAATTCCTAAAATATTGATTTTAGGAAAAAATCATAAACCAAAATTGTAGCTTAGAAAATTTCCTACAAAAAATGTTTTTGTACTTTATCTCTATCTTCAATATTTTAGGAGATATAGAGGCCTAAATTGTGCGTAAGAGTGCGTAGTTACCTACGCACTATAAAAATGGCTATAACTCCTAAAATATTGATTTTAGGAAAAAATCATAAGAGACCTAAATTGTAGCTTAGAAAATTTCCTACTAAAAATGTCTATATACCATAGGTCTATCTTCAATATTTTAGGAGATATTGTATTTTTTATTGTGCGTAGTGGTGCGTAGTTAATTACGCACTCTAATAATGGCCATAATTCCTAAAATATTGACTTTAGGAAAAAATCATAAGTGACCTAAATTGTAGCTTAGAAAATTTCCTACAAAAAATGTTATTATACTATATAGGTCTATCTTCAATATTTTAGGAGATATGGTGACCTAAATCGTGCGTAGTAGTGCGTAGATAATTATGCACTATAAAAATGGCTATAACTCCTAAAATATTGATTTTAGGAAAAAATCATAAGAGACCTAAATTGTAGCTTAGAAAATTTCCTACAAAAAACGTTTCTATACTATAGGTCTATCTTCAATATTTTAGGAGATATAGTAAGTTAATTAATATTGACCTTGAAAAAATACTAATATTATTATTTCCAGCCATGCAACGTCAGAAATTGGAACCTAGAAGTTCACTTCAAAGTCCACGGCAAAGGCCGTGATCTATTCGGCGATGGTTTTGCGATCTGGTACGCCAAAGATCGAATGGTGACTGGTCCAGTGTTTGGGAACAAAGATTTCTTCCACGGACTTGCTGTTATTTTGGACACCTACAGCAATCACAATGGACCCCACAATGTAAGTTATAATTTACAAAATTAATTAATTAATTAATTAATTAATATTGATTTAATTCAGCATCAACACCCTTACATATCTGCGATGATTAACAATGGGTCTCTGCACTACGACCATGACCGTGATGGTACTCATACTCAATTGGCTGGTTGTGAAGCTAAGTTCCGTAATCTGGATTATGATACTCATATATCTATCAGATATGAAGGCGATACTCTAACAGGTAACTAAATTTATTTTTAAAAATTTTTTAGTGCTTAAAATTAATTTTTAGGAACAGTGACTATAACTCCTAAAATATTGATTTTAGGAAAAAATTATACTATAGGCCTATCTTTAATATTCTAGGAAATATATCCAATTTTATAGTCCCTCAATAATTTTTTTTTTTTTTTTTTTTTTTTTTGTAGTATCGACAGACATATCCAACAAAGCAGCCTGGCAAGAATGCTTCAAAGTAAACGGCATTAAATTGCCTACGGGTTATTACTTTGGAATATCTGCTACTACTGGAGACCTATCAGACCACCACGACATTCTGTCTGTTAAATTGTATGAGCTCGACTTACCTGACTCTGTAAGTATTCTACAAATTCCTATAAAAAAAAAAAAAAAAAAAAAAAAAAAAAAAAAAAAAAAAAAATAAAATAAAATAAAATAAAAAAAAAATATTCTAGGTAAAAGACACTGAAGACAGATCTAGTATCATTCCCTCAGCAACATTCTTCGAATCTCCAAGAGGTACTATTTACTAACCCAATAATTTAATATCTAAAAAAAAAAAATTTTTCTTCTAATTTTAATTTATTAATAAATTAATTTTTTATATTTTATTTTATAATTAATAATTATTATTTATTTTTTAGATCACGTGGAAGATCCAAAACCTTCTTCTCTTTCTGGTATCAAGATCTTCCTACTAATGTTAGTAGCTGCTTTAGCAATTATTGCTTGTGTGGTTATTGGAATAATGTTTTATCAAAAGCACCAAGAAAATAGTCGCAAAAGATTCTATTAATTAATTAATTAATAATTAGATAATTGTGACAATTAGGTAACAATAATAATAATTAAAAATTTTATATTTTTTATGTAAATAAAATATAAATATCAAGTTCTCTGGGTTGTTGTAAAAAAAAAAAAAGTCGACTGAATTTTGTTTAATTGTCGCTAGTGTGAATGTTTAAGACTTTGTAATTAATTAATTAATTAATTTAATAGTGTGTTCAATTGAGAGATTTTTTGGGAAGATGCTGCTGCCAAATATGTGGACGTAATTGTAATTAATAAATTAATTGTAATTTAAGATAATTTTGTAATAATTTTTGTAGCTTAAACCTGATTTTTGTTATAGGTAACAAGATTTAGGTGACAGTGTCTTGAGCAAAACTCCTAGTTCCTAGTGTCTTTTTCTACGTCTTGCTCAAATTCATGTAGAAGAACTGCTTCAAGATTTATATATAACTAGCTCAAGACATCTTGTGGAAGAATATGAGACAAATTTAATGCAAGGTGCATTGAAAAACTTTCTGACGGATTTTTTCAATCAGAATCTCACAACAGACACTTACCCATCAGTTGCTCAACATTTGCTCAAGATCCGTAATTCTCAGTAATTTGTTCATTTCTAAAGCATTTGTCAAGCAAAAACTAACAGCAAATGTTGAAGCGTGACTTGCTCAAGATTTGCTCAAGATGCATCATGCATTATATATTTTATAGCACTTTTTCCCCGACAACTACTTGAAGATGTATTGATTCAGTGGTGGTCATTTTAAAATAATTTTGTCTTGATCGATAAAACAGTAGGTCTGTACTCTAAAAGGTTAAGCTGAATGAGATCTACTGATCCTATAGTAAATATAGGAGGGGTAGAATGATAAGAACGGTCATTCGAAAACATTTGATCTTGAGCAGATCTTGAGCAAGTCTTGCACAAGTATATTCAGCATGTTTCTGGTGTCAGTATTTCTCAAGAATTGATACAGTTAGCTTATCGATAAGCATCTTCAGATTTTCTCAATTTTCTTACACAATTGTTGAGCTATAATCTGGCCGAAAGTTCTTGTGCAAGGCTTGTTCAAGACTTGTCAATTGAATTTTCTACAAGTATCTGGAGCAAGACCCATAGGTAGAAAACGACACTAACAACTATCGAAATTGAGACCAGATTTGCTCAATCCTTGAAAAAGATTGCTATATAGAATAATTTTTTAATTGTAAAAAAAAATTGTAATTTTTTTTATTAAAATAAAAAAAAATCTTCCGGTACCGGGAATCGAACCCGGATCGCCTGGGTGAGAGCCAGAAATCATAGCCATTAGACCATACCGGAGCTTGTGAAGGGTTACCTTTGCACAGCAAATTTAAAGTCTGAATTTATTGCTATGCCACGCTGCGCTGCGGCAAGCTGCCGCCAGGTGGCGCTGCGAGACAGTCTGGTGAATCGATAGTTTGGTAAATAACTAGCTAACCTTCGAGATAAACAAATAAAGTTTGCAAGTACTTGTTACTTGTTTTGAATTCAAAAATTTAATTACAGTTATTATTTTTATTTTCGTTATTATTATAAGTAATCTTAATATAGATGAGCAATAAGTGAAAAATTTTTAAGTATGAAGTTTATTTTAAAAAAATAATTTTATATAGTAAAGTGTCATATTTTGCTAAGTTTATATATTTTTTAATTATGGCTGGAGTTGTTCCAATCTCTGGAAAACCATTTAGGAAACAATGGTTTTTACAAGGTAAATTATTTTTTTTAATTATAGAGGAAGGTTTTAGTTGTCATCATTAGTCAGTGTTTATTTTTGTTTAGGTGTTGTTGCTTGAAAGAAATTTGAGCGGGAAAATTTAAATTTTAAATAGATAAAATATGATCTATAAATAAGTAAAATTTTGCTTTATTAAATAATGAATTTCGTTAAATTGCATTGTACTTTTTTAATTATTGACATTTTTAAAAATATAAGCTCATATTGATGTTACACTCATCGAGACCTTTCATTTAAGTACCCACATGGCAATTTTTATATATTTTATATATATGGTATTTGTGAAATATATATAAATATATGAAAAATTGATGATGGTATTCAAATGAAAGGTCTCGATGAGCTCAACATCAGGATGAGCTTATATCTTTAAAAATGTCAATATTTCATCAGATACAAGGTCATTTTTTATGTATCTAGAGATACACTGGCCGCCAAATTTCTCTAATCCCCTTAACAATCTAGGTTATTTTTTTTCAGATGGACCACGAGGATCTCTTCGAGGCCTACGTTCCCAACTCGCCGAAGACGGCTGCGCAGACTCCCAAGTAGTCCTCGCCAAAAAGCTCCTAGAAGAACGCTGCGGTAAGTAAACTCCTTCCACTTCCAAACTTCCCCCTCTAAAATTCTCTCCTTTCAGACCTGGATGTCGACACAGAAGAGAACGCAAAACTAGCCGTCTACTGGCTAACAAAAGCTTCCGAGCAAGGCAACCTGGAGGCCACAAAGATCCTCCAGCACTGTTTCACGACCGGCCACGGAATCACCGAGCACAACTACCAGGACGCTAAATCCTGCCTGGAGATGTCGCAGCAAGAAAAACTAGCTCGCAACGCCGCCCGGCTGCTCTTCACAGCGCTCTCTAACGGAGAAGATTTCATAACCTCCGAGCAACTACGACGCCACTTAAGCCCCGCCTCCTCCTCCAGAAATTCCCCTCCTCCTCTAGAATACCTCTCGGACCCAGAAAGAATCTCCGAATCGCAACTAGTCTCCGCCGCAGCCTCCTACTCTCGCGGCCTCCTGCCCTCCTTATCCCCTCCACTTCCCCTCCCACTTACTCCCTTTTACCCTCCCTGGAGGGAACCATTAAGCTTCTGCCGCCGGCTGTACCACAAGCTCCTCCTCTTCTCGCAAAACTCCGCCCTGTTCACCTCCCGATTCTTCACCCTCCTCCTAATCCTCACCTACTGCCTCCTAGGAACCGAATCACTCCTCCTCTTCCTCCCACTCCTCTTCTACTACCTGTCTTTCGTCCTAATGACCTTCGCGACCCTCCAAATGCTTCACTCAGGAACCCAACTGTCCACCTTCCGTTCCTGGTCCCGCCTCTTTATCTCCTACTCCTCCTCCTTAGACCCTCAGGAGGCGGAGTTTCAGTTCTGCCGGAACAACCTCAAGCCGTACGGCCACTTTTTCCTCTCCCTCCTCCTGAACCTCATGATCTACCCTCTGATAGCCCACCAATGGACTCCTCAGTCTGAATTCACGCTAATAGCCTTCACACTGACCCTCCTGACCCTCCTGAACTTCTCCTCGCCCGACCCTTTAGTCCTCTTTAGCTTCGCGATCCACGTCCTAGCGAAGTATCCTTACGAGCTAGACATCGTAGTCGCTCAAACATGGCGCTTTCTTGACATCCGGGTCCCCACTTTTGCCTCCTACGTCATTGGCAACTCCATAGAATTCTGCCTGAACTTCCGAGCGGTTTTCTATCTCCTAATCCCCGCCATTTTTTTGAAACTAGCCGCACGGAACTCCTGGAAGGGAACCTACCAATTGCTAATCCCGCACTGCGTAACCTTATCCTGGTGGCAGATCGCCATTTTGAGTTCTCAAGGAGCGACAATGTACGGCCTGATCCGTGCGGCTCTGGCTCTAGTGGGCGTGGTGATGTTCCTGCCCATAGTAGGCGTGGCCTCGATAATCCTGCCCATTTTGGCGCTAACAAAGTACCTCCTAGCGGACTGGAGGAACAATTTAGCGACCGCCTTCCTCGCTGCGGCGCCTTTTGGAACCTTCTGGTACCGCCGTCGGTGGTTCAGCAGCGCCCAAATAATCCTGGGACTTACCGCGGGGGCGTTCCTAATCTGGCCGACGAATCTAGACCCCGCCCCTTCTGAGTCCCTCTCCTGGGAGGCGTATCAGAACTTCTGCCACCAGCCGGCTTGGGAAGAAGCTCCTAAAGCTCAGGTCCAAGTAGCTTGCGACGCTCTGACGGATCTGCCTGTCACCTGGGAGGGGTACGTCACTGACGTCAAGCTCAGGCGGGTCAGAAACCCCCTCCGCGACTTTTTCGGCGGAGCTTGGGTCCCAGAAGGCGTGGCTAAGAAGCTCAGCTGCCTTCTGGGGGAAAAGGCGGACTGCAAGGAGGGAAATTGCGGAGTTTTGATGAAGTTAAGGCCGTGTAATGTTGATGGGTGGAATAAATTTGAGTTTGAGGTGTTTGTTAAGATGAAGAGCAGCTTGTGGGGGAGCCACAGTGAAATTGTGCTAAATGCCGGGCATGAGTTTAAAAACTTTAGTCTTAATATTTATCCCGGGGATAAGATTTGGTTTAAGGGGAGGCTGAGTAATGGAGGAGAGAGGGAGAATTTGCTAGGTGGGGTCAGGCCGCATGTTAATATTGTTGAGGCCCAGTGTCTTTTGTGCCATGTTGGGGAGCTTAGGGCGGGGCAGGGCGGGGTTAAGGATTTAGTGGGGGTTATTGTTAGTGGGGGGAAGTCTGTGCTTAATTTTGTACTGAATCCGCTGGTTATTTTCCGGTGAATTAATTAAGATATTCTATGTGCCTTTTTGTAAAATAAAATTTATTTTGAAAGAAATTATGGCTTTTTTATTATTGTAAATCTTTTTCAAGGCTTGAGCAAGTCTGGTCTTAATTTTGATAGTTGTTAGTGTCATTTTCTACCTATTGGGTCTTGCTCCAGATACTTGTAGCAAATTCAATTGACAAGTCTTGAACAAGCCTTGTACAAGGACTTTCGGCCAGATTATAGCTCAACAATTGTGTAAGAAAATTGAGAAAATCTGAAGATGCTTATCGATAAACTAACTGTATCAATTCTTGAGAAAGACTGACACCAGAAGTATACTGAATATACTTGTGCAAGACTTGCTCAAGATCTGCTCAAGATCAAATGTTTTCGAATGACCATTCTTATCATTCTACCCCTCCTATATTTACTATAGGATCAGTGGATCTCATTCAGCTTAACCTTTTAGAGTACAGACCTACTGTTTTATCGATCAAGACAAAATTATTTTAAAATGACCACCACTGAATCAATACATCTTCAAGTAGTTGTCGGGGAAAAAGTGCTATAAAATATATAATGCATGATGCATCTTGAGCAAATTTTGAGCAAGTCACGCTTCAACATTTGCTGTTAGTTTTTGGTTGACAAATGCTTTAGAAATGAACAAATTACTGAGAATTACGGAACTTGAGCAAATGTTGAGCATGTGATGGGTAAGTGTCTGTTGTGAGTTTCTGATTCAAAAAATCCGTCAGAAAGTTTTTCAATGCACCTTGCATTAGACTTGTCTCATATTCTTCCACAAGATGTCATGAGCTAGTTATATATAAATCTTGAAGCAGTTCTTCTACATGAACTTGAGCAAGATATGTAGAAAAAGACACTAGCAACTAGGAGTTTTGCTCAAGACAATGGCACCTAAATCTTGCTCAAGCACGTGTTACCTGGATAAAACGCAGATTGTAATATTAGAAGTATTATATTGGTCTAACCGCAACTGGCCTATTTAACCGGTTATTGTTGATGAATTATTAAGAATTGTAAGTATCGTCGATAATAATCTATTTTTGGTGATTTTAATTGGAGATATTAGTATTGATTAAAGGGGGATATTTTATTCCAAGGATATGGGAGGGCTTTATTGATTTAGTCGACAACTTGCTGATACAATTACATACTCAAGTAGATTAATTTATTTTACTATGGCCAATCAATGAGAGATACTCTGTCGAGGATGTTGGGATGAAAGAGGTATTATTGAGTTTGTTAAAGTATTATATTTCTATTTTAAAAAAAAAAATGGTCACATTTTTAAAAATCAAAATTCTCAGATAATTGGTTTTTCCTAAACTCGATATTTAACCCGGAAATTTGAAAATAACTAAAAGAAAATTAGTTATATTTATGTCAGATACTATTAACAACTCTTGGGGCCGTTTTAACCCGGTTTAGGGGGTCAGAAAAATTTTTTATTGAAAAAATAATCCTCTTACCTTATTCTCTATAAAATTCCGCGTGAAATGACGTATATAAACCCCGAATTTCATCAGAACAAAGCTGAAAAAAACCCAATAAAGAAAATTAGTTACTTTTATGTTAGATGACCTTGAGATTTTTAGATTTTTTAGATTTTTGGGGAAGTATGGGAGATAGAGAAAAATTTTTAGAGATTTTTTGTAGGAAATTTAGTGCTCTATAAAATGTCTCATTGGTTTTACCTAAATTCGATATTTAACCCGGATTCGAAAATAACTAATCGAAAATTAGTTACATTTATGTCAGATACTATTAACAACTCTTGGGGCCGTTTTAACCGGGTTTATGGGGTCAGAAAAATTTTTTATTGAAAAAATAATTCTCTTACCTGATTCTCCATAAAATTCCGCATGAATTGACGTATATAACCCCCGACTTTCATCAGAACAAAGCTGAAAAAAACCCAGTTAAAATTTAGAACCTTAACAAAAATTAATTAATGCTTGATGTTAAGTCCCGGAAGTCCCATACCGATATTTCTAAAAAGTGCCGATCTTTTGGTATCCTCAGCTCCGGGGTGCTCTGTAGACCCGATCTATCGAAAGAAAACTGCCGATTTCTGTATTAGATCGGTAACTATACCCGATTTTCTGATTTTATTATCCAAAAATGTCATCGAAGGGTTCTAGAGTTTAAAAATCTTCCAAAATACATATCATGTATTTCGAGCTTTTATATCTTTAAATAGTTGCTTATCCATAAAAAATAGCGCGAATCATTTATATGAATGTTAAAGTTCACATAATTATCTTCAGATACTACTTTTTATTTTTATGATAAGGTCTTGAACTTGAAATTTAATTTTAATAATAAAATATATCAAGTATCTTATCAAAGTTCTCGGAATTGAACTAAAATATCCAAATGATTAAAATCACTTAATACAATTAATTAATTAATTAATTAATTACTCATTAAGTTTCTTAAAAGCGAAAAAACCCACTACTAATTTATCAAAAGAAATTATTTTTTTAATTTATTGTATTAGTACCTCAACGCATTTTTAAAGTCGCGACCCGATAAAAAGCTTAAATGAGTCCCTACTATAATAACTGAGACTCTCGTCATGGTCCGCGCGAATTCTAGTACCTCGATCATTATGATCATAAATTAATTTTTCCATTCACTTAAAATTAAAAAAAAAAAATATTAAAATGTATAAAATTACATTATTGTTATCATTATTATTGTTGTCAATTTTTTTAACCGCAGCTGAAAATTGTTCAGAAACTGCGTCGTATAAATTAAATCTCACTGCAGATGATCCGGATGTTAAAGAGTTCATCGAAGATGGCTGGAAAAAATTAGTTGAGTATAACCGGTCAGATGGCGCTACTAATTACACGCACTCAGGTTTATTTAAAGCGCAACTGCGAGTCGAAGATAATCAAAGAAAGTACACCATATTGGCTTATTACATTTCGTACAATAGAGAGGTTAAATTTTACTACTGTTATTTATTTATTTATCCAATTATGGAGTACATAGATTGTTATTCCACGGGCCCAGATGTAAGTTTTTAATTTTAATTTTATTTTTTTTACATCCTAATTTTTTTTTTTTTTTTTTTTTAGAGATACGTAGAAGCAAAGTTTTATCCGCAGTACAGAATGTATAATTTTCTTGACAACTGGGAATTAATTTAAAAAAATTAATTAAAATGTTTTATGTAAAATAAAGAATGAACTAATTTATATAAAAGTTTGACTTTGAAGGCGTGTAACTTTTTAAGGGTTGGTTTTAGCGAAAAAGTCATTCGGACCTTTTTTCTAGGGAATTTAATTTCCTATAAAAATTGACGATTAAAATATTTTTATAAAATTTTTTTGGTACTTAAAATTGCAAAAAAGTCTTTTTTTACCGACATAAATGTAACAGTTTCAAAATAGCGAGTTCGGGAGGTTCCGGTGGTTCGTTTTGAACCGGACCAAATTAGGGGGCTTCTTATGAGTGGCTAGAAAGATAATTAGAGGAAAAAATAAAAAATTTTGAAAAACTTTTTAAAATAGTTTTTTTTTATGGAATTTCAATAGTTTTGATTTTTTAACGGCTGTAACTTTTTAAGGGTTGGTTTTATCAAAAAAGTCAATCCGCGCTTTTTTCTAGGGAATTTAATTTCCTATCGGTGATATTAATCAAATTATTTTTAAAAAATTTTTTTCATGGTTAAATTATTACAAAAGTACTTTTTTAGTGACATAAATGTAACAGTTTCAAAATATCAAGACCCACTGTTTGTAGATAGCTTCGAGGCATATTCAGATGTAAGTTTTATTTTTTACAATGTTATGCATCACGCTGATTTAATATTTATTATTTCAGGATTTCTCGGAGCAAAGGGACAGAGCGCAGTATAGAATGTATCATTATGTAAGGTCAGTTTTATTAAATTGACGAATAAAAACCACTGAGAATAAATTTGCTTTTTTATTTTTGAAAACTGAGGTCCTAGCGATTTAGAATTCTTCCTCCCGAGTAAGATGAACCCAAACACTCTGTACTTATTCCCGAGGGTTCATTAAAAAAATCGCGTTAATAATTTATCAAATGATCTATAGATCATTAATCAAAAATCGACCTGCGGCCAATTTAGTCGTGCGACGGCTCACTTTCTTCAGAATTTTATGCTCATTAAAAGTGGCCGAATAATTTTTTAGTAGATCAATTTCTAAGACTGATTAATCGCCAATTAATCATTAATAAAAAAATAATTTTTGGTATTTTGTAAAACGAAGGTTCTAACGACCTAGAATTCTTCGTCTCGAGTAAAATAAACCCAAACACTCTATATTTATTCCCAAGGGTTCATTAAAAAAATCGCATTAATAATTTATCAAATGATCTATAGATCATTAATCAAAAATCGACCTGCGGCCAATCAGGTCGTATGACGGCTCATTTTTTTCAGAATTTCAAGGAGATCAAAAGTGGCTTATTAGTTTTCTTCTGAAAAATAATTATCACCCCATTAATCCTAAAAAACTAAAAAAAAAATGTTTTTTTTTGCAGAATTACAAAATTGTTGATTTTTAAAGGTCTGTAACTTTTTAAGGATTAATTTTATCAAAAATTTCAATCAGATCTTTTTTGTAGGGAATTTAATTTACTATCGAGTAAGTAGATTAGATTATTTTTTAAAAATTTACAAAAGCCACAATAATAAAATTTGCGGTAATAAATATAATTCGAGAGTCTTAATTGGATTCAAAGGTAAGTAAAGTGGGTTAATAAATAATTCTTAAGTACACTAGCATGCTTAACTCATAAATACAAATAAAAAAAATGTAATAAAGGTAATAAATGTGACATGTTGCGGTTATTGTCGGTGGCTAGTGTCCACGGATCGCGTGACACCAACAGATTATGATTATCTTTTTAGATTGTAATACCTACTCTTTTATACTCAACAACCTGTTTTTACGGAATTATTACTGGATTATTCATCGAGAGAATGTCATAGACAATTATTATTAA